CTCGTAGAGTAGATTTTCTAAAATTATATATCCTTCTCAAATTAACACAAAATTACTTTATATATGCACCTGGCACTTAAATTTTGATTTAAAAGAAAGCTGTAGAATTGTGTGTTATTGGCATACTGCAAATCACCAACTGTGATTCTCCCACAGAAATTCAAACAGCATTTGTTCCTGACACAGTCCAGATTTCATAATACTTGTGTTTTCTAAAAATGCTGGAGATAACTATTGAAACTAATATGCATGTAGAAGTTATTCCATCATGTGTGGCATTTAAAAACTCGTTCTTTGTAATTTTCAATCTTTATTTTCAGTTTGCAGAAAGGACTTGATTCTTGAGAGAAGACATCATTGTGAAACGTTAACAACAAATCTTAATTTCATTTGCTTCCATTTAAGTGCCAAAATGTCAAACTTAATATGTTCAAAATGCATATTAGGCCACACATCATGTGAGAAGTCTGATGATATTAAAACCAGGTATAGAAATTTGAAATCCCAAAGAAGAGCTTGCAGTAGATATTGTTAAACTTATCAGGGTTACCAAGGTACCTTAACTTTTAATTTTATTTCCCAAATTGAAAATTACTAGAGGAATGAGCAGTCTAGTGCAGGGTATCAAACTATAACCCATGGGCTAAATTCAGTCCATTACCTGCTTTGTAAATAATAATTTGTAAACATAGTCATGGTCATTTATGTATTATTTGTGGCTCTTTTCATTGCTGCAGTGGCAAAGTAGAATAATTGTAGCAGAGACTATATGGATTGAAGTACTCCAAAAATATTTACTATCTGGCTCTTTTCAGAAAAAATTTACTGATCTCTGATGTGGTTAAACGTTTGTGTGACTAATACAGGGAGACACTTGCCAGTCAATTGTGAGATACACAGACTGATTTTATTACTCTATGTGGAAACTTTAGGGTATACAGGCAAACACCTTTCAGTTTTTCCTCTCTGTCTGCCTGCCTATCTATCTATCTATCTATCTATCTATCTATCTATCAATCAATCATCTATATCTTTTAATTAGAGTTGACATTCAGTGTTATTTTCTTCTAGTTTCAGGTATACAGCATAGTGGTTAGACATTTATATAACTTCCAAAATGATCCCCCTGATTAGTACCCACCTGGCACTAAACATAGTTATTACAATAGAATATTGACTATATTCCCTATTACAATAAAATATTGACTCTATTCCCTATGCTGTACTTTACATCCCTGTGACAAATTTGTAACTACCAATTGGTACTTCCTAATCTCTTCACCTTTTTCATCCAGCCCCTCAACCACTCCTCCCATGTGGCAGTCATCAATTTGTTTTCTGTATATTTCACTTAATAGCCTCTAAATCCATCCATGTTGTTACAAATGGTAAGATTTCATTTTTTATGGCCAAGTAAGATTTCTTTGAAAAATGTATCACAACTTCTTTATCCAGTCATCTTTTGATGGGCACTTAGGTTGCTTGCATATCTTGGCTATTGTAAATAGTGCTGCAGTGAACATAGGGGTGCATATATCTTTTCAAATTATCATTTTGGTTTTCTTTGGATAAATACCCAAAAGTAGAATTGCTGGGTCAAAGTATTTTTAGTATTTTGAGGGACCTACATACTTTTTCATAGAGGCTGCACTAATTTACAATCTCACCAACAGTGTAGGAAGGTTCCCTTTCCTCCACATCCTTGTGTTTTGATTTATAGATGGCCATTCTGACAGGTGTGAGGTGATATCTCATTGTGGTTTTAATTAGCATTTCTCTGATGATTAGTGATGTTGAGCATCTTTTCATATATCTACTGGCCATTTATATGTCCTCTTTGGAGAAATGCCTATTCAGGTCCTCTATTTTTTAATTGAATTTTTTTTTTGTGTGTGTTGAGTTATATGAGTTCTTTATAAAATTTGGATATTAACCCTTTATCAGATGTATCATGGGCAAATATCTTCTTCCATTCAGTAGGTTTTCTTTTCATTTCGTTGATGGTTTCTTTTTAATTTGACGTAGTCCCATTTGTTTATTTTTTCTTTTGTTACTCTTGCCTGAGGAGACCTTTACACTTTTTTATAACTGCTAACAATTTCTTTTCTTATTTACATTTCTTATTATAATGTTGAGTGGCCCAGCTATTCATCCCACTTTGATTTCTTCCTACCACTTACCTTCCCTCTAGATTGTTTAATCAGCTCATTATGTAGGATGCCACTGCAGGGTTCTGAGCTTCCTATTTGTCTACATGTCTCTTTGACCTTAGGATGGTTTTCTTTTTTGTCTTATGAGTTGATTGATATGAATAGGTTCAAATATTTTAACAAATATCATTTGTTAAAAATGACAACTGTCTATGACATGAAGATTTTAATTATAAATACTCATTCTGTAAATTTATCTTATTGCCCTTTTAAACTAATAGGAGCATTGGCATTAAAAAACTTGAATTGGAGGCAGAAGGTATGGTTTGTTTTAGGTACAATCATGATTCTTGGAATGCTAAGCTTAGTTTGCTAGGCATAGGATTATCGAGTGAATGACCAAGGTGGTATTGTTCCTTACAACTCTGTTACTCTTCTATTACTCATTGATATTTTTAAAGAAGTGCTGCCTTTGTTTAGTTATAAGAAGAAATAAATTGAATTTTAATTTTCGTGATACTTTGTAATGCTGTATTATGAAATTAAAGTTTTTTAAATTTTGAAATAACTTCATAGTTAAGGAAAGTTGCAAAAATAGTACAGTATGTTTCCATATATACTTCATCTATGTCTTACGTTAACATCCGACAGAACCATAGTACAGTGATGTAAGTAGTAGACTAATAACACAGTCAGTACTATTAAACTAATCTACAGCCCTCATTTGAATGTTTTCTCTTTTCCACTCATGTCCTTTTTTCCCCCAGCCCAGGATCCACTCAAAGACCTCCTCATATTGCATGTAGTTCTTATTTATCCTTAGTCTCCTCCAATTTATACAGTTCTATCAGTCTTTTTTTTACTTTCATGATTCTGATAGTTTTAAAGGATATGAGTTATTTTATAAACTGTCCCTGAATTTGGATTTGTCTGATATTTCCTCATAATTAGATCAGAGTTATTCATTTTTGGCAGGAATTCCACAGAAGTAGAGTTGCATACATCTCAGTGCATTTTATCCGAGGGTGCGAGATGTTTCTATGTCCTATCACTGATAATGTTAACCTTGGTAAAGTGGTGTCTGCCAAGCTTCTCCACTGCAAAGATACAATTTTCTTTTCTTTTTAATTAAAAAGTATCTTATGGGGAGATACTTTGAGGTATGCAAATATTCTATTTCTCATATTATTCTCACCCATTAATTTTGGCATCCCTTGGTAGAGCTTACTTGTAGCAATTATTACTGTGGCAGTTGCCTAATGATGATTTCTGTATTCATTATTCCTTCTATATTTATTCATTGGAATGCTGCAACAGGAAGAGCTATTCATTCTCCACCATTTATTTCTTCAATTATTTATATCATTATGGACTCACAGATATTTAGTTTATTTCCGGGTTGTAATCCAACATGATCATTATTTATTTGTGTACTAGTCGTCCCAGCTTTGGCCACTGGGAGCTCCTTCAGGATGGCACCTTATTCCCTTTGATGTGCCTCTGTCATCTTTGAGTTTGTCACAAGGTGTTCCAGGCTCATCATGTATTATCTGCCCGCAACCTTGGAATTAAGGATTCTAAGGAGCCTTAGTTCATTTATTAGAGAATGATATTAGAAACCAAGATCTAGGCACTTGTGTTCATTGGTACTGGGTGTCATTGCTTCTAGGACCTCTCAGTGGGCAGAGCTAAGAAATATATGTTTGTATATCCCGCATGTATTAACATCCATTCATCCATACCTATCCATCCACTACCTACCTACCTACCTGCCTTCAAAAACCATGAATTCATATCGATGCCTCCAATTTTAATGTAATATCACAGAGGTCATTTCTTTATTTGTAACTTCTGTTTCTCAGAGTGAGAATTTTGGCTCTCATTATCCCAAGTATTTTTCTTTTTCATTCGTTCCGTGTGTGTGTGTGTGTGTGTGTAGGGGAGTAGGGTCAGCGGTATGTGGAGTGGTAGTGGTAGAGTGAGAATTTCTAAACAATATGCTTGTGAGAAATAAATTTACTAACTAGAAAACGATATTTCTGTGACAGTTCCTTTTTCTTTAGCCTTACATTAAACGGTGAAAAAAGCTTTTCCAAAGTTTCTTAAGGGAAGTTCATTTCTTCCCTATCCCTTTCAGTTGGTTGTATTTTTAATTTCTAACATAGTTAGGTTTATTTGTGTTCCATTTTAGATTCTCCTACCCCATCCACTCCCTGGTTGATTTCAATGATTTATTTCTGTTTTAGGTATTTGAATTATTATTATGGTTCTAAGAATCAGTTACAGAAAAATATATTCAGAAAAGTGTCAATGCCTCATTATCTCCATTATCCATTCTCATTCTCTCTTTCAACTCTATTTCTTTCTAACTCCCTGTAGGCAACCAGTTTCATTAGCTTCTTTCATCTGTCCTACATTTCTTTTGCACAAACGAGCAGATACATGGGTAGTTTTTAATATCCCCTTCTTCCTATATGAAGGGTACCGTATACCTTTTGCTATATGTACTATATATCATGCGTAAATATGCATTTTATTTTCCACTTAATATATCATTAATAAAAAGATTTAAATCAACTGCATCTCCCTTAACATCCTGTAATATCAACATTTTATTATTTTTCATCCATAGAATTTTGGATATGAAATACACAATTTAGAAATGTAAAAGTAAAGCATCAAAATTCAAAGAAAGACTATTTGAAGCTTTGCTTTCTAAGACATAACATTTTTGGGTGCATAAATGTCAATATTGTTCCTGTGTAGATGTAAATCAAATGTGGTGTTCAGTTTCTGGTAGTAATTTTAAATGCCTTTGTTTATAAATGCAAATTTACCTTTTGTTTCTAGCTGGTAGCGGTGTTTGATGAGCAAGATCCACATCATGGAGGTGATGGCACCAGTGCCAGCTCCACAGGCACCCAGAGTCCAGAGATATTTGGCAGTGATCTTGGCACCAACAATGTCTCAGCCTTTCAGCCTTACCAAGCAACAAGTGAAATTGAGGTCACACCTTCAGTCCTTCGTGCAAGTAAGTGAAAGCTCTTTTTTCTCTGCACATTTCATCTTAATTTACAAGGATGCCAACTTTTATTATCCAGCCATGCCCCTGTGAATGCAATTCATTATCTATTTCTATCAAAAATTGATTAAGTTTAGAACCTGGGCAAGTGTCTTTTGCAAGAGAGGTAGGCAAGATTCTTTATGTTTTAATAGACTGGGTTTATTTTACTCTAGCCTGGTAGAGTTTTAATTGCTCACTAAAGGAAAATAAGGATGAGTTACAGTTAAATTATCTGAATTTTTCTTTCCATATATTTTATCTGAATGACCAAATAGAAGTAATCAAAGGGTTTCACATTGAAATAAAACATAACATCTTCGATTACCAATCAACTTAGTTATAACCATTATGTGAACTTTACCCGAAGAGCAGGAGAAGAAACCTCAGGGCCATAGTAATCTCTAGGGATCTAGAAGAGCTGCCATTAGAATGTTGTCTCAAGGAAGGAAAATATAGGATACAGTGAGTTTGCATTAAAAATTCTAAGACTGAGAGAACTCAAGTTAAAGAATTCTATCAGCGATTCCTAGAAAGTTTACTCAGAAAAATGAACTTTGTTGGAAGTTACTTTTAATTTTTTAATGCTGTAATCTTATAATTGAGCAGTTGTTAAGAGTACGAAGGTTCAAAACTTACAAGTTAAAAATCATTTATCTTTAAGGCACATCTAGTTAGAAACATTTAAATTTTTCAAGTGGAAAATTTAGTCTTGTGCTATTTTACTGATAGTCTTAAGTACTTGTGTATAAAAAGTGGATTGCCTTTGAGTTAAACAAAATTTTAATTAAATAATAGCACAGGTATTCAGGTGCTTGATGTTTGGAATACAGTGTCTTTATGTGAGTAATTACACCCTAATGTATATAATTAAATGCAGAACTTTTTGTTAAAGTTGTAGTCTTTTATTCATGTGTTTTATAAAGCTAGATGCACCTTTAATTTAGCAGCACTTTTAATTTAGCTGCACCTTAGTGTTTGAGGAAAGGTAAATCTTGTCTTTATGTTAAGAAGAATTTAAATGGCCAGTTTCCCATCAATTTTATACTTTTGACTTCTCTGGGCTCAACAAACGTTCTAAAACACTACTACCATATTTGGCTGGCCCTATGTGTTAAAATTTAAATGCTACTTTCAACTCAAAGTATACATCTCCACCTTGTTTTTATTGAGAAAAGGCAGTTATATTTGAAGCATACATGTTGTCTTGTAGCCATCAGTGGGAAAATATGCAGTTTTACTTTCTTGCTCTGATTTTCATATGCTTGAGATTTTATGGCTGTGGCAGAGATCAGGTTGGTACGTGTTAAGCATCTGCTAAATATGAGGTTTGGTGACAATGTACAAGTTACTCATTCCATAGGAGTCATCAGTCTACGAAGGTGATTTTTCATACTGTATTAATACCATAAAACAAGAGTTGATCTGTGTTGGACAGGCCTTGTGCTAGGTGACAAGAATCCAGAGTTAGGTTGAAATAAAGCCTAGACCTTGTCATGGAGGAGTTAATGTTTAGTGGTCTTCCTTATTTACAGATATGAAAATAAAGAAGTCAACAATATGCAGACCTTTACTCAACTATAGGATAATCAACTCTAATTAGGAGCATTGTTAAGAATTTTAGGTAAATAAGGATTTTAGGTAAATAAACTCAATTTTTGTTTTGCTGAAAGAGATAGCTTTCCCATGTTTTCTAACTTTTCCTTTGAGTAAATTTACTCATCTCCTTTGTTCCATAAAGAATTGATGGAAACTGAGAAAAGTGTGCAGTTTTTTTTTTTCTCATTAAAACAGTGGCTATTAAGTTTGGGTATTAAGATAAAGCCTAGGAAGTAGCCACAAATTTGTCCTTGAACTTATAGAAGATACAAAGAGAGAACTCTGATTTAGTTAAATCAGTGGTTCTCAATTGGGAGTGATATTTTCCCTTGAGAGACATTTGACAACGCCTAGAGGTTTTTTGGTTGTTCCAGCTGGTGAAGGTGGGGAGAAGTTAGCATCTGACTGAGGATGCTGCTTAAACGTCCTGCAAGGCACAGGAGGGTCCTCCACATCAAAGAACTATCCAGCTCAAAGTGTCAATCCTGCTGGGTGGAAAATCCTGAATTAAAGAGTCATTGCCCTAAGGTCAAAAAAGTTACCTAAGAGAAGCTAAAACTGAAACTTGAGAAAAATTTTCTTGAGCCAAGTGTATTATTGAACAGTGTCCTGCATAACACCCTTCAACTGAAGGGCAAAGAAATAATGACCAGCTAAAAACAGTATTGCTCATAGTAGGTAAGCAGCAGGCCATAACAACAAAAAAGGGAATTATGGGCAGTATTACACAAAAATATTACTATAAATATATTTAATAGAACAAAAATATAAATTTTCCTAAATATCAAATATTGTGCTTTAAAAATTGAGAAAGTAAATAAAATAGACCACATAATGAAAGGCTGTATTAAAGCTTCTTATGTTAAAGAAATTAAGTAAAATAGGAAAACTTATTTTACATAAAAAAAATAGGTACCTATGAATAAGAGAAGGAATAGGATGGAGGAGATGGGGTAGAGCTAGACTTGTAATTCTTTCTTTTGTATATTTGGTATACATATTGTATTTTTGGGGCCATATTATATGTTACACAATTACAAGACCATTGCATTTTAATTTTTATAATAAAATTCTAATAACAATATTAATGAATGATAACTCTTAATTATTAAAATAAAAATATGATACAACTAACATAAGTATACATCCAGTTGATGGCTCAGTCATCCAAGGGTAACTTTTAAGTAACTGTAAAATATAATAATTTATACAACCAAAGGGAAAGGGGCAAAAAAGAATCGAATGTTGTTGTTGATATTGGTACTGTTAATTTTAGATTATCATATAGATTTTATAAAATGAAGCAAATGAGGAATTATAGTAATATTTCAATTCTTTCATTCCTGTTGCCATTGAGGACCCAGGATTCTTAGCATAGAAGAAAAGGATAAATTGTTATCTGAGAAATCTTGTTTATGGAAATAAATAGAAGGGATTAGATGGGATTTTGTGATAGCGTATTGCCCAATTCTTTTAACTCCCTCCAGCTTGAAATGTCAAGCATTGATTAGTGATCTTTCATCAAAATTTATTTTTATTTGATATATCAATGGACAGACAACTGGCTCCTGTCAGGAAGGAGTGAACTAGAAACTAGCTGAGTGGCAAAAGTTTGTTATCCCAAGTCATTTACTTTCTCAACATCAAGTCCAACGTATCCAAATGTTCCTTTGTTTGACATCCTGGAAGTTTTTATGTGCAGTTGTACATTTCATAGATTTTAAAATGCAGGATAGGCGATGCTTAAGTTTTTGTTTTGTAATTTTTACGTGTCGTTTTTAATTTTTTGAAGTAGAAGAAAAAGCTATTGAAAGCATCATTATGACTTTCCTACACTTTTCATGGACCCCTCCCAGCATAATGATATTAATAATGAAAATTATGTTTCATATAACTTTAAATATTTCAATATTTTATTTTTTTTCTTTCTTAGGCAAAACTTAATAGTTTTTAATGGGCCCTAAATGTGTAATTTTTGTATGATGTGAAAAAAAATTAAAACAATTTCTTTATCTCTCAAAGTTTATTTTTTTCTGTCTGATTTTAAAAGAAATTAAAACCTTTGGGCCTCTGAAAGTACCGTGGGCCATAGGCAGTGGGCCTCCTCTGCCTCGTGAGTATGTCAGCCTAGGGCTGCTGACCATGGAGACGTGAGTAAGCACCAGCATTTTACCTTGACCCTGTGTTTTCAGGCCAGTAGAGCCACTTTAGGGAATGATGCATATGGAAAGTGAGGATACTAACATTGAATCGCTAAACTTCAGTATTTCCACATCTCTTGGAAGGCCCTTGCATCCTCCCAGGCATAAGCATACTCTAATTTAATGATAATTGGTTACCAAATAACCTATACAAATATTCTTGTTTTTTGACCAGACTTTTGATAAATTTGAGTGGAAGTATATTCTACTTTATGCTTTTGTTACTTGAGTTTACAATGTAGACACTCCTTTCTAGACAATAGCATAGAATATTTATGATTCAGAAAGAGTACTAGCGATGTCACCTTAGTCTGAACACTTGGGCAAAGTTAGTGATCTCTGTCAGCCTCAGTTCCTTAGTCTCCAAGTACCTACCTTAGAACTGTTGTGAATAGTAAATGAGATGTTCAGGCTCCTTATACATTGCCTGACACTTGATAAACACTAGATTAACAGAAAGTTGTAGAATGGGGATGATGATAATGTCTATGGAGCACACACCCACTTCTTATTGATATTTAAGAGGGTTGAGAAGTTACAGAACCCAAGTAACTGGAACGTGTATTCTTGAATAGAACATACTGCCCATCTTAGGTAGGTAAGGTGGAGTACTTTCATACAGAGTCAGTTGGAACCATTTTTCTCTTAATTTCACAGTTCTGTGATGTTTAATTGTCTCCATTTTCAATGGTCACAAATTCAGGTTTAGGGAAACCTGACATGTTCAGGGCACACTTTCCTCTGCACATCATTGAGTCCAAGTCTGGTGATTTTTTTTCTCTCAAATTTTTTCTTTTTGTTTTTTTAATTCTCAAAGTCTTTTTTATAGAGGTCAGACATTCCAGGGTAGCCTGGCCTTAGAATGGTGGCCTCATTTCTTTTAACTCCAGAATTCTGATTTTTAATGTTTCCTCTGGAAGATCCAGACTCCTTTGAAAGTAGCAGATGCCCTACCAATGGTAAAATTTCTAGAAATAGTATTGCTATAAAAACTCTGATAAACAAAGTATCTAATTTATTAGATTGGTTTTTTTCTTTACTATCTTTTAAGTCTTTTAACATTTTAAGCTTTTTCTAACCTATGGTAATTTTCCAGTTAATTTGTATCCATTGTAGGCAAAATTTTTATGAAATGGTGCTGTTTAACTAACTGGTAAGATTTAACTAGCT